GGCGCGCGCGCGTCCTCCTCCCACACGCCTGCGACTGGGTCCTAGAGCCCACCCGGTCCACGCGGCGCCTGAGTGCGTCCCCAAGAGGACCCAAATAGGGCGGGGGCGTCTAGGCTCACCTCCTGGTGACTTCTGAAAAGGGAAGAAACGGAAAGCCGTTCTCGGCTTTTCTTTCAGTTAATTAGCGAAACTCAGCCCCTTTATTGGGATTCTCAGGGACGGCTTCAGGCTCCCCGGAAGCCCCAGGCAGAATGTGCCTGGTGGTGAAGGAGCCGGGGGGTAAGGCGAGGTCAGCGTCCCGGAGAGCGGGCTTGTTCTTGCAGTGAAGTAAAATGTTAAACGACATTCTGCCAGACTCAGAACCTCGAATGTCTTTCTTCCCTCAAACAGGTGTGGGTGGGTGTGTGTTAACCTTACCGACTTGCCAAAAAACCCAGCGAGGCCTGGGATAATCGCACTTGGAAAGCGGAACTCTCCCACATTTCTCATTTTTAATACGGATTTTGCTGTGGAACTTGGGCCCCAGGCTGTTTACGCTTCATATTTATTCCTTGAGTCTTCTGCAAACCTCAGGTTCGGAGCGCGGAGTGATGCAGGTCCAGGCACACATCTTGGCAGCTTTTTCATTTGCTTATTGCAGGTCTCCCTCGTGCCAGACACTGTGCTCGATGTTCAAGTTTTCCAGAGGGCAAAAACAGACATTCTCAACTGGGAAAAACATAGTAGCTCTGGGGCTGGTGAGATGGCTCAGTGGTGTAAAGCACCTACTTAGAACAAGCTTAGCAAAGCACAGCGACCACGGTTCAATCCCCCAGCACCACATGCCAGCCAGCCCCTCCCCCTGGTGGGCTGAGCTGGCCACACACACACACACACACACACACACAAATAAAATTAAAAAAAGAAAAAAAAACATAGTAGCTCGATCCCAAGGACAATCTGATTTAACTGTGAATACTGGACTTGACCGGACTTGTTCGGTTCTTTGCGCTTTGTTGTCATTCATTTTATGTCTCTCATGATGTCTAGTCTAGTGATGGAGCAAAATAAGCCAAAGGAATTTATTGTAAGGTTAGTAGAGAATTTGTGAACCAAGATGTATTGGAGAAACACCTACGTGTACCTCGCAGTTAAGAGGTCGGCAAGAGGCGGAGTCCGGTGCTGGGGGCGGGCCTGGAAAAAAATCTCCCGTTCCAGATTGGTCCATAGGAACGTTGTTAAACACTGCTCCTGACCAATGATACTGCAGGATCAACGCCAGTGGTTCGAAAGCCGTCCAATGGGAGGAGACGTTGGAGTTGCGCGGCGAAGTTTAGCTTCCTGAGGTGCGGTGGGCGTGGTCACGACTGGAAGAACGCTGTTCCGCGGGGTTCCAGACCTGGTAGTTCAAGAGTTGGTAGGGGCGGTGGCGATGTCTCTTGCAAAAGCCGGAGCCTTGCCGCGGACGTGGGACACCAGCCCCTCGGAACACAGGAAGTGGGTCCAAGTAGGTGTCCAGAGGGCGACTTTGAGTGTTAGACTTCGGCTTGGCCGGGTTATAGAAGAGACCCGGGCGGCCCTAAAAGGGTCGTGATTATTGGCCAGGCCTGGAGCTGCCAGACTCTGGCTCCCTCAGGTGTTCTACTTCCCAGCTCCTCCCCTTTCATAGTCTATTAATAATCTCGATTTTACTACTCTTCTCCTGCTGTTCAAAGCCAGCGCCTTTGCCTCATCTTCCTAAGTACTCGACTGAATTATGGGTAGACTTAGTCTAGAAGTTAAGTCGTTTGCACTTTTTTAGGGGGTAGATTTTGGTCATCATTAAGAGTTTTTGTGAATTAAAATTGGGACAGTGAAACCTCTTTTTAGAGTCCCTCTACGGGACTGAGTTTTACATATTTTCAAGTTCAAATTGAATGTGAACGGTTTCTGTCTCACTAACTGAAGATATTTAATATTCTCTAGGTATTTAAAGCCTGTGATGAAGATAATAAAGGCTATTTAAGCAGAGAGGACTTCAAGGTTGCTGTTGTAATGCTGTTTGGTTACAAGCCCTCCAAGGTAGAACTTTCTTTGTATTTGGGGAATGGGGTACATAATAATATGAACGAGTCCTAAGAAAAGTGTCCAGGGATAGTTTAGGATATTTGTAAAACAAATTTCTGATTTATAAACCATATTAGAGATTTCTCCAGTGTTCCTTTTTTCTTACTCAATCCCAGAGTGCTGAGTTTACAGACTCATGTAGATGTTTGTTATGGATCCAACTCAGGGATGAATTAATATCTATCTCACTTGAGCCTTGGAAATAAATCTCCACCAAGCTGCCAATAACTGTAAGATATTTACAGTGCTAGAGAGATTTCAAGAGGGTTGAGAGGGGCTGGTAACAGGAGAAATCCGCGTCGGAGACGTGCAGTGTTCCCTTTAAAAGTTGTTGTAATCTGAATACTATGGGGCTGAAACTGGAAGATTGCAAGTTTGAGTCCACCCTGGGCAACTGAGTGATTTAGCAAGTCCTTGTCTCAAAATTTAAAAAAAAGATTAATTTTCAAAAAGTTTTTAAGGTACTGGAGATGAGCCAGGCTTCCTGGTATGAGTCTGTGAACTCAGCACTCTTGGGATTGAAGCAGGAAGATCAAATCCATTCTGGGCAATTTAGGGACATAGACCTTCTTGCTAAATTAAAAAGGGGTAGGGATGTAGGTGAGTGTGAAGACCCCGGATTTCATCACAGTGCTGAAAAAAAAATTTTTTTTAAGTTGTAAAAGTAATGCAATACTTGTGAGGCTGCGGTAGGAAGATTGTGTGTTCCCAGCCTGGACAACTTAATGAGAACCTATCCCTGAATAAAAGATAAAATAAATAAAGAGGGGCTGGCGATATAGCTCAGTGTTAGAGTGCTTGCGTAGCATGTGTGAGACCATGTGTTTAGTTACTAGCAACACACAACACACACAT